TAATTTTAAGTTCTTTATTGTGGTGTCTGTCTTGGACTTCAAAACTCCTCAAATTTAATTTTAAATAGATATTTATAAATTTTAAGAAATTCTATTAAAAAATAAAAAAAATAAAAACTCTAGAAAGCTAAAACAGATTAGACTGTCGACTATTTGACAGAGAGGCATGATGTCGACGCTACAACAGAAGTACACACCAAACCCGTGTCGGGTTTCTGGATCTTTCTGCAATTTCTATGTTATTAAAATAGCAAATTTGGTCCTCTAGCTTCGATATAATAAGTACTTTGATCTTATATCTTCGAATTCATTCCTTTAAGTCCCTTAAAGGGGGCTTTCTTCGCAAATTCGGTCCCTCAACTTTTAAAAAATATTCAATTAAATTTAAAAATTTTTATTATTATGTATTCATGTCTTTTTTAGCACAAAAGGTAAAAATGATGTAAAATTCATTAAACATAACATCTTATCCATCTAAATAATAACAAAACCAAAACTAAAATAATAAATTAAAGCATATGTCTATACAAATGTCTATATAACTTTAAAAACTAAATTAAGAACTTTTTAAGTTAAGGGACCCAATTAAATATTTTTAAAATAATTGAGAAACTAAATTAAAAATTTAGTCAAAAAAAAAAGGTAAAAGATTGCTATCTTCTCTTAATTTTTCTCTTTAATTTCGAAGATTAATAATTGCGGGCAATGGGTTCCTCAATTATTCTTTCTTTTCCTTGCAAATGGGATCCCCCAGTTCGAAATAAAGGGACGAGAAGTCACCCTTTCTCACATGTTTGGTTGGGAGAGTTAATTTTTAAAAAAAAATTATTTATATATTTATATATATTAATATTATAATAAAATAAAAATAAAAGTAATATTTTAAAATTTTATTATTTTACATAATTTTTAACTTATAAAATTTTTATCTTGCTTATTTTGTAAGAAAAAAAATTTTCTTTATAAATATCTTTATATTAAATTCATTTAACAAGTTGTTAACTAATTTT